TTAAATTCGAAGGGGGAGAGGGAAGATAAAAAATATTAATTTTTTTAGATTTGAATTTATAGTCTTTATATTTCTTTTTATAAAAATAAATAAATATTTTTTATCGAGAAATTGAAAAAAAAAAAAATCTTTATTTGTATAATAATAATTTTTTTTTTTCAAACAAAAATTATTTTTACACATATTTTATTTTATTTTATTTTAATGAATATTATGTTTAAAAATATTTTTATCTTTAAAGTAAGATTTTATTTAATTATATTCATAAAAATTTGTAATTTTTATAATATATATATTTTTAAATATTATAAGTCACATAAACATCATTATAACACATTTCCTCATTATTTTTAATTTACTTTTAAAATTATTATATATATATATTTTTTTTTAAGAATTAACAAATAATGTAAATACTATAACAACAACAAAAACAGTAAAAAGCTTTGTTAGTTAAAAATTAATTTGTAATTCGAATTTAATATTTCTTTTTTTCAATTATTATAATATACTTTTCGTTATATCCGGGTTTCTAAAATATGAGATTCTAAATTAAAGTAGTATCAAAGATAGCATTTATAGGATTCAGTGGTTTTGGAAAATTTACTGCTTTATAGTTACTTTTAAGATATTATGATAATTATGAGATCAAATATTAGCCGATGGAGTTAAATAAGAGAATATGAAATCAAATAATTCAGAAACAGTATGAAGAAGTTAGTTAGGAGTTTTATTATTTAAGGAAATTAACCTAGAAAATATGCAATAATATATATCAAGCTAAATTTGATTAAATAAAAGAAGTAGCATTAATATTTATTGAAGATAAATATCCTTTAATAAACTAATAAGATGAAAATGTATAAAAAACTGGATTTGAAAGAGGATTTAAAAATAATATAATTCTCTTTTTGGTGGATAAACATAAAAAATTACAATTAAATGAGTTATTGTAGAAAATCCTAATATATTTTAACTTGATGAGATTAATAATGATTTATACTAAAATTATTTAAATATATATTTTTTAAAAAAACAATTTAGTTGCTAATACTATATTTAATTAATTAAAGGAAAAACTTGCCTAAGTGTATCATATAAACAATCTAAAATTTATAATAGTGATTAAATTTTAGTTTTTTAATAAGGAAAATAATTATAAATAAGAAAAAATCTTTTGAATAAGAAAAAATTATTAATAAAAATGGTTATTTATATGGATTAAATGTAATTTGATTATATTTATGTATTTTATATAAGAAAATTTATTTAAATGTATAAACTTTTACTATTATTATTATAATAATAACTTGATTTCATGAATATACAATAAAAAAAAAAATATTATATATTTGGTAAAATAAATAATATAAAATAATAAAATATAATAAAAATAATTATTGTAAATCTTTTATAATATATATATTTTTTTATTTTTAATAATATTTAAAATATATTTTATTCTATTATATCATAAGAAAATAAAAAAAAAATATCAATTAAAATATTTTTAGTAAAAAATAATAACAAAATAGAAATATTAACAAACAAACAAAAATGTAAGGTTGTCCTTTTTCAAATGATCCTAAACATAAAGTAACTCCCGTAATACTAGGATAGCATTTAGTTGTATTAAATTTGTTCTTTTTAATAGCTAAAATCTATGATGCTTATTTATTAAGTTGGTTAAGTTATTTATTATCAATCAGTTTGCTACTTTGTTTGATTTCAATCTAACTTAAAAAATTTCTTAATGTTGAATTTAATAGCGAAAGTTATCAATGCACATCTTTTGACTTAAATGACTAGGCAACTGTAAAAGCTCTTTATGTTCATACATTCACATTTGTAAATGATTCAATTTAAAAATTTAGAAAAGTCGTTCTTTTAAAAGACTATTTCTATACATTAAAATGGGTTGGAGCTCTTTATGCTTTAAGCAAAATCGCTTTCTGGTTTGGAGATTTTGGATTGATTTTCTTAGTTTGTAATGCTATTTGTTTATTTCCTTATGTCAATTAAGAGTATGGAAAATAAATTAATGAAAAAACATTTTTTGCGAAAAAATCTTTTTAAGAAAAATTAAATAAAGTTTTGGAAAAAATTCCAAGTAAATAAAAAATATAATGAATTATAATATTTAATTGAAATTTATTAATTATTTATGCATTTATATATTATAATATAATTATTATTTTAATTTGAATTTAAGAATAAATAAAAGAATTTATTTAATTATAATTTATATATTTTATATAATATAAAAACTATATATTATAATATATATATATAATTTTGATTATATTTATTTAGGTTTAATTTACTTTAGTATCTCTATATTATTAATTTTAATTAATTAAACTATAATTTATTTTTTATTAATTATTTATTATAATTTTAATTTTATAATATTATTAAACATATTTTATTTCAAAACTTGAGTTTACTATCTTTTTAAAATATTATTTAAACATATATTTATATAAATATTAAAAAATTGATTTGCAAAACATTTTTGAAGAAAATTATAATGGTTAATAACTATTTTCTAAATAAATGTTTTTAATTTTATAAATATTTTTTTCTTAAGTTTAATATCGTTTCAAAACTTTAAAATATTCATTTATGTAAAAAAATTAAATTTTAATTTATATTTTATTATTTGATAATATATTAATTTTTAATGCATTTTTTTACATAAAATAATATATTTATTTATATTATGATCTATATATGATATAATACGAGAAAATAAATAGAGACCATTAATATTTTTGTTTTATATATATAATTTCTTTTTATCTAATTAATAATTTCAATCAATTTTATTAATTCTTTAAAAACATAAAAATATTTAATAATTTATTATGTATTTTTTTATAAATTACATATATTTATTTATCATGTATTTTTTTTTATATTTTAAATAAAAATATATATTTTAAAATAAAATTTATTTTTTAGTATACAATTTAAATAAAAAAGTTACATAATTTTAAATAGAAATGAATAATCACGATAGCAATAATTACGAATAAGAATAAGAAGAAGACGAAGAATAAAGAATTAACTTTTATTAAATAATAAAAAGATTAAGAGAAGATGGGGAAAATTCTCCCGCATCTCGTTTGGTCTACGTAGCATATTTTAACGAAACTTTATTATAAACGTAAAATATCGACATAGAAAAGATGATGGAATAACGTAATAAAGATAAGTAAAAAGAAAAGGAATTATTTTAAGGATATTGTCTAATAAAAGGAGCATTTCTAATCCATTTGCTAGAAGGAGATTCTACAATAATAAATGAATTTATGTTAGGTTTGTATAATGATTTTAATAAAGAAAAATCTATTTATTTAAATTTAAACATAATTACTTTTAGCGAAGAAAATTCAACAAAAATGTTTGATAAATGGTATTGCGACAACTTATTTTAACCAGGGCCATAACTTACAACTGATATAGAAAAAACAGATTAATAAGTATAGGACAGAACATGGGAAATATATAATATGATATGTCTAGCAGGAAAAAAACATGCTCAAAAAGGTGTCAAAGATAAACTTTAAAAAAAAATTTCTTAAGATATTAATATTTCTGTTGATGATATGTGTTTAATGATTTCAAAATATTATATGAGTATAAATGATTATTATAATTTGTACTTATCAAATCTTTAAATTAATTTAGATGGTGAAAAACAGTATCCCTATTAACCTTCTTTAATATCTATTTTAGAATTTTATTAAAATGGAAATTTAAAATAGTATTGAATAAAAAAAAAAATTAAGAATTCATATAATTATATATATAAAATAATTATTTATATTTTAATCTCCTCATGAATTATTGCCATTTATTACATAATTTCATATTTTAATTTTAGAATAAAAATAATTATTTTTATTGTATTTAACGATTTCCATAGTTTTTTTTTATTTTAATTTAAAATTAAATTCATCAGGGATTACTTAAGTATGATAAGCGTTAATTTATATATCTTTAGTTTATATATATTTATTTTTTAAAATTTATATAAAAATTTTCAAAAATTAAATAAATATTATAAAAATAAAAAAAACAATAAAAATGTAATCTTTAAACTAATTAAAATCCGATACTAATAATTAAGTAATTGATTCTATTAAGATGCTATAGTAAATTGCAATAAATTAATTATCAGGTAAAGATACTACATAAATTAATGAATATAGATTAATGTTAAGACCAGATGAAAAAACTTAAAATAAAATTTACAATTATATGTAAGTATACAGAAATAAAATAATAGGAAATCAATACGATAATAAATAAAAACCTAGAAAAGAAGAGAAATTCTTAAATAATAATGAAATAACAATTATCGAAAATAATTATTAAGATTTAGGTTTTGGCGAATTATGTATGACTTTCATAAATCCTGATTCTTTAGAAATTGGTTCAAAAAAATAAAAACCTGAATGTATAACATATTAAAAGGCAGAGTAGGATTATGATTAATTTTTAAATTTAGTTAACATTAATATTCCATAAAGCGAAAGAATTTTACAAAAAAAAGCTTTTATGTTATCTTTTTTATTACTTTAAGATTATGAAGAAAAAGATGAACAAAATCGTAAAATAACAACGTATAAAGACTTATAAAATCCAATATAAACAGAAAATGAGTAATAATTTAAATTGAACTCCCCAGATGGTAACCAATAAATAGTTAATATAGAACAAAAGTAAACAAAATCACCTATATAATAGTAGTAGGTTTAATAAGAAGATAAATAATAAAAAATAAAATAAAAAAAAGATATTAATTATATTTTAAAACTTATAAAAAAAATCTAATATTTAGAAAATAAAGAATCACCATAAATAGGAAATACTTATTAACCATAAAATATGACGTAAGCTATTTAACCAGATGTAAAAAAAGCATAAAAAAAATTAATATAAATACAATATATTATTTAAATAAAAAAAGAACTAAAATAAAGCAAAATAAGATGATACAAAAAAACCTTAATTAACTCCATATAAAGTAACACAAAAAAATAATTAAGCAGATGAGCAAAAGAAATTAAATGATAAATAAAATTAAAAAAAAACTTTAAAAGATATAAAATAATAAGATATTAATGTTTAATATTTGAAATCAGAAAAAAAAATCAAAAAGCTAATACATTTCATTACAGACATAGATGCTTAAGAATTTAATTAAATTAAAAAAAAAAAAAATTTTGGTGGATTTTTAATAAAAAGAAATTATGACAAAGATGACTACGATTGGTATTGTACAAATAAATATCCAAATGATTATTTAACATTGCTTAGATTTGCAATTCAGCTTAAGTTAACTTTAAATGGAATGCTTTTTACTAGAACTTTTTTAAAAAAAACAGGAGATAAACTAATTTTAACAATTAAATCTTCGGAAGAAATTATTGCTTAAACTGCAAGTAAATATAAACTTTATAAATAAATAGAATTAGGATATGCTGATTTGCTTTCATTAGAACCATGTGATGATAAATATAGGTCTTTTATTTAATAAAATACTTATACAATAATAAAAAAAAAATAGGCCTTTAAGGTTAAAAAATTAAATAAAGAGTGCAATAATTCTATTTAAAAAGAAAATGAAAAACTAAGCAGCTCAATAATAATAGTAACAAGAGAAAAATACAAATAATAATTTATCAATAGAATAATAATCAATAAGAAAACTAAAAGAATACATTAACTTGGAAAACGATAAATTTTGGGAAATTTTAGCATAAAAATAATTATTGTATAATAAAAAAATTGATTAAATTTGTTAAAATTTAAGAATAGAAAAACCTAATCATAGTATAGAAATTATGGATGATAATGCAGAAAATTCTAGAGATTAAAAGGATATTTGGTTAGCTTATTGTTTGTATTTAGATTATATGCTTTATTATATTAATAAAATGTAAATTTTATAAAAGTTCGTTAAAACAGATCCTGATGAAATCATATTGTAAAATTAAAGCTAAAAGAATTAATAAAAGAAAATTGTTAATTTTAATTCATTTTAAAAAAATGAAGCTTTTTTATATAAAGTATAACAAAAAAATTATTTATAAATATTTATTAATCGATTTGATTTGATTTTATTTTTATATTTTCTTCATTTTTTTAAAAAACTAAATGAAAGTTCTTTATCAATTTATTCTATCTTATATTTTTAGGAGATTGAGTTTTTTTAAAAAAAAAACTATAGAAAAAATCAAAAATAATATCAATAATAGTGATATATATATTATTTAAAAAGTTAATTTTTAGAAAAGCATTAGGAGAAACAAATAATTATTTTCATATTGTAAAAGGGATTTTTTCAACAAAAAAGAAATTAAAAAATATATGGGATTATTTAAATGTTAATATCCCAATGACACCTTACGCTTAATATTTTTAATCTTAAAATAAGTATTTTGAGTTGGCTTGGAGAAAATATGAAGTAAATGAAGTAAAGGCAAGGTCATAATTTATGAACATGGAAAAAATTAAGATTTGTAATATTATAGTTTAAAATAATGTAATTATATTACAAAATAAAATAAAATAGTTATAAAAAACAAAAAACATAGATCTTTCTATTAAAATTAAAAATTGATAAATATATTTGTGATTATTTCCCTATTCATGAACCCCATTAATTACTTGGGGAAGAAAAAATGGTTTATTTTCGTCCTTTAATAGATGCATAATACCTTTAAAATCCTTAGCTTACGGAAACATAAGAAAAAATTAGAAAATTATTTCTTATTGTAGAAAAATATTCAGAAGGTAGCGATTTTGATAGTGAAAGCTTAGTTAAAGAAAATTCTTTTGATTTATTTCAACCTTGGAATTTAAATATAGATAGTATACGTGACTATTTTGGTGAAAAAATTGCTATTTATTTCCTTTTTTTATAATATTACACAAAGAAATTAGCGCTTATAAGCCTAATTTCTATTATAGTCTAAATAATATAATAAGAACATGAATCATTATAAGTAGTAGCAGGATTTAGGATATTCTTTTCAATGTTGATTATGTTTTGGTAGGTATTATTTATGTAAAATTGGAAAAAATAATAAGTAATTTTCTCTATTATGTACGGTTAAGAAAAGCTTTAAGAATAAGAAGTAGAAAGACCATAATTTAAAGGATAATATAGGCGTTCTACTTAAAACGATAATATAAATTTTATTTTTTACCCTAGTTGGAAGAGGTAGTTTTTATTTTCCCTATCTATTTTAGTGAGTATAATTATTGTTTCTATTGTTGTAGGTATTATCATTGGTTTGTTTATTTTAAGAGGAATTCTTATTAATAATAATATTTTAACTAAAATTCCTATTATTAACCCGCCAGGATTAATTGGAATTATTAACTCAATATAAATCTTAATATTTAATTATAGTAATAAAAAATATACATTTTATAATTAATTTAGTTTAAATTATTATAAAAAGTATATGTTTTATTTAATAAATGGATGACATAGAAAGAAAATCATTAGTTAGCTTAAACATTTGAAAATTCTTTTATTGTAAAAATATTTTTGTTTACTTTTTGTAATACTTTTGCTTCAGTCTTTATGATTAGTTTCTTTGATTAAATATTAGCAATTACAAAAGAAGAAGAAACTTTTGTATAATAAGCGGATGGAGAATTTCAAACTGAACGCACAAAATATGATTTACTAGAATTATGTAGAACAAATAAAGATTAATAACCTGAAGAATTTGATTGTTTTGAATCGCTTGGATATTAAATATAATCGATATTTTTAATTAATTTAATAAAAAATATACCTGAATTACTTGTACCTTTAATAAAATAATTAATTACTAAAAATTTAAGTAATGAAGATGAAACCCTTATTTTACACCCTTTTAACTAAATAGACTCCTATATAGATGCATAATTAAATTTAGAATAATATATGACTAATGATGACATTGACGGAACTTTAGGTGATTACATGGAACTTGTTATTTAATTTGCTTTTCTTGTATTATTTGGAGTAGCTTTTCCTATTTCATTTATGTTAGCTTTTATTAATAATGTTTTAGAGATTTAGGTTGATAAAATAAAATTGATATATTTCGTTCGAAGACCAGTAAAATTAAAAAATAAAACATACTAATAAATTAATTAAATTTTTAGTTTCCGACAAATGCATGTGATATAGGCCCTTGGGTGAAGATTTTGGAAATTATATCTTTTCTTTCAATTTTTACAAATATAGGTATAATGATTATTATATATAAATATGTATTTTAATCTTAGGTTTATTAGTTTATACAAGTTATACAATACAATCATTTTATCCTGAATATGAATATAAATTTATAGAAGAAATAGATTAAAATAGTAAATAATATATGAACCTTACAGAAGAATAAATTTAGAATCTAGTCGATATTTAAAATACATAAAATATGGAATTACTTCAATAAAAATAGCAGATAGCATTCTTTACATTATTAGTTATCTTTTTATTCTTTAAATATATAGTAACTATCCTTGTAAAAGATGTTCCCGAAATATCTAATATTATTAAAAAAAGGCATAAACATATTATTAATAATTGCCTTCATGGTGTAGAAGATGAAGTTGCTAAATGTACTTATTCAAATTAAGCTAGTCAAATAATTTAAGGAGTTGATTATGAGAATTATAATAACAAATTATAAAAAGATTAAAATTATATTAAATAAAAAGAAGAATTAAAGTTTTTAATATAAAAATAACATAATGAAAAAGATAAGCTTTTGATGAAAATAATATTCAAAAACTAAAACGAATTATAAAAGACATTAAATTAAAAAAAAACATAATGAATATAAATAGAATTTTATATTTATTTTAATATATAGTTTTTAAATATATATATTTTATTTTATTTTTTTTGGAAAAAAATATAAAATAAAATAAATAAAAAATATTAAAATATATAATAGTTATTTCTAAAAATGGAAAAACTTAATATTTACCGTTATTAGCTTGAAGAATAAGTAAGATTTTTGTCCAAAAATTCAATTAATTAAAAAAAATATACAATTAAATTATAATAAAATGGCAAATATTTATAACCAAATATATTTATAGGTAGATTAATGGAATTAATATTCATTAGAATTAAAAGAGAAAATTGGAAATCCTATATGCTAAAAGCATTCTAATTTACATCAAGATATTTCTAAAATTAAAGAAAAATATTTTTTTAGCTATTTAAATGATGCTTAGCGATAAGTATTATTAGGCTTATTATCATTATATTTTCCTTTTGTGAATAGAAAATGTAAATTACATATATTTTTTTTTTTAAAAATAAAATAAAATATATATTAAAGATTTGAAAAAAAGTTTCTCTAGTTCATTTAGACTTTCATTATATATTTATTTTGGTTTAGGATTAATTATTCATCCAGAAACATACAGCTCATTTTTCTATATACCTAATTTACAAGCACATAAAAAATAATGAAATAATTAAAAAATATAATTTTAATTATTAATTTTAAATAAATATTAATAATATCTATAAATATTATTAAATGATTATTTATATACAAAAAAATATAAAAATATAAGTTGTTTTAAAAAAAAATATTAATAAAAAAAAATATGCATTATATCTCATTTAAGAATTACCAGTAATATTAATTATTATTATTATTACATATGGATATTAATTTATCAAAAACATAAATAATTATTATATTTTATTACTTTTAGTGTTGATTAAAATTTATTAATTGCGTTATACATAAAAAAAAATATATATATTTTTTAATTTATATATTCTAAATATTTTTTTTATTTTAATTATTTAAATTTTAAATAAAATAATATATATTAAAATATAAAATATATGTGTATTTTATAATAATCAAGTATATATTGTATAATTTAAATAAAAATATTATTAATGCATTTTGTAATTTATTTTTTTATTAATAAAGATTCTTCATTAACCCTTCCTCATATATTGATTTTTGTTAATAGATCTTAATTTATTTTTTTCCCTATGATTTAATTGATGAGTAATTACAATAATTTTTATTTTTTACTAAATAAAAATATAAATTTAAATCTATTTTATTGTAAAGAACTTTTAGAATTTGTGTATAATGAGTTTTATTATATTTTTATAATTAATTAAATAAATACTTGTAAATTAGTTCTATTTTAATTATTCTAATTTAAAGAAGTCTAAATATCTTTGAATTATTAAAAATATATTATTAGGTTTAAATAAGTTTCAAGCAGAGTTTCCTGCAATTGTTTAGTTTATATTTTAAATCTTTCTCCTATTATAGTTATATTTCTTTTTCTTTTCATTACAATTAAAAGTAGAATAATTAAGGTAAAAATAAAAAGCGAATTATTCATTATCTCAAAATAATAAAAGTAGAGTAAAATTAAATAAAAATTAATTCTATATATGAATTTTTTTTGTAAACTTTAATTATTAAACAATAATTATTATAATTATTATTATTATTATTATTATTATTATTATTTTATTTTTATATACTTAATTCATATAAAAATAAACGATTATTTGTAATATAATTATAAGCTAATAGTCAAATACTAACATATTTATTTGATTTCATTTGCAAATAGTGATACATATTTATAATTTTCTTTATTGCTTTATATTGTATATTTTTAACTAATCACATATTATTTTCTTATTTTTTACTTTTATAAAAGATAAATCATTTAAATAATCATTCGTTTAGTTGTTGTTTTTAATATCGATAATTTTATTTTACTTTTTTATTATTTTAAGATTATTAAGAAAAAAGTGTATATAAATTAAAGTTTTATAATTAATATTAATATTCTAATTTTATTTCTTTCATTTAAAGACTTATATTATTATTAATAAATACTTTATTTGAAAAATTTATTTTTTAATTACAATTTCTTATTTAATCCATTTTTTTTTTTTTTTAAAAAAAAAAATTATTTCCAATAATTATTATAATATTCAAATTTTATCCTTTATAGATTACTAATCACATATCAAAAAATGTTTATCATAATTACATAATTTTTTTGATTCATATATTTATTTTTCCATAAATGAAAAATTATAATAAAAGCATTAAATTCTATTAATATTTATATTATGTCAATTACTTTATTAATATATTACTGTTTTAATATTTATTCTAAATTAAATATATAATTTCTTAATTTTTATTAATTTAGATCTTAATAAAGAATTCTATTTAATAGGATTAATTTCTCATCAACTTTTTCGAAAATATATTTATCTAAAATTTGGCATATGTTTTATATAATTTTGTATTATAGTTCATCAATTATGCCTTTAAATAATAATATTAAAAATATAATATTGAATTAAAATTTCTAACACGTACTATGTTTTATATTCCTTTATTTTCTATAACATAATATTCGATTATTTATTTAAATTTTATTATTATTTTTATATAATAAATTAAATTATATAAATAAATTTAATTTATTTTTGTGTTAATGCAATTTAGAAATTATTTTAAAACTTTAATAAAATCTTCTTAAGTTAAATATATTATATGATTATATGAGATATTGATATAATCTTTATATTATATTTTCTTTATTTTAATGTAAAAAGACATTATTAACCGAAAATTTATAATTTCTGTCAATTAAATAAATAATTATATTTGCAATAAATATATATAATAAAATAAGTTTTTTATATCATAAAATAAAATTCATTTTATTGATATATTTGCTTTTGAAAATTAAATTTGACTTTTATTAATGTAAAATATTGTATTGTCAATTTATCTATGTCCATATAAAGTTTCTTTCATATTTAAATTTAATTCATTTAATATATTTTCACTAAAATTAAACATAAAATTTTTGTTTTAATCAATATTTATCCAAAAATATATTTATAAATTTCTTCTATTAAGTTTTTCAAATATTCTATGGAAAAAAATTTAAATTCATAGATATTTGTATCATAAAATTTAAAAAATTTTAATTTAAGATTTAAATACAGCTGAATATTAAGCTATTTCATGAAAAAGAGAAAATGGCATTAACATTATAAAAAAAATAAAAAATTATAATCGTAAAAATAATATATGTTTTTATAATTAGTCAGAGGTTAATATCTTCTAACCAAAAAATATCATAGTATTAAATTAAAGGATTAAAATATAATTATTTAAATTTTTTTTTTATCAATATTTTTTTTTTATTTTGGCAAACTTTATTCGGTTATAGAGTTTATGAATAAAAATTAAAAAATAACAAGAACAAATTATTTAATAATTATTGGTATATTTCTTTATATGTTTTCAGCAATTCAAATAAATAAAATTTTATAAATAAAATTAATAATAAAAAAACAAATATATAATATGTAATCGATAAAACAATATAGATTCAAAAAAAAAACAAGTAAAAAACTGAAGAGAGTAAAAAAAGAAGTAAATATTTAATAAATTTACAATTATTAATCTATTAAATTTCTATAAATCTATATTATAAATATTTATAAAAAAAAATTAAATTGAGATATAAAAAAAAATTTATAAAATAAAACATCTAAAAAAAATGTTAAATAATATATTTTTTTATTTTAAATAATATAAATTAAAATAAAATAAAAAAAAAAGTGATTTATCGAAAAAAAAAAAATTTAAGTTAAAAAAAATAAAAAAAAAAAAAAGAAAAATAAAATATAAAATTTAAAATATTTATAAAATTTAAAAAAAAATTATAAAATAAAAAATATATAAATATCAAATATTATATATAAATATAAATATAAAATTATATATAGTTTTTTTTTTTAACTTTTTTATAGCTTTTATTTTATTTATTATTTTTTTCAATTTTTTATTTTTTATAATTTTTCTTTATTTATATTTAATAACATATTACATATATTTTTAAGATAATTTATTTGCTATTAATAAAAGCTTTAAAAATATATTTATTAATATGAAAATGTATTTATATTAAATATAGATAATTATTATAAAAATATAGTTTGAAATTTCTATTTAATTATTTTTAATATATTTATAATATTTATACTTAATGAAAATAATAAAAAAATTTTAAGATTTTTACAAAATAGACTATTAAATTTAAAGATTACATTTTAGTCATTCGTTTTATAATATGTAAAATATTTTATCTTTAAATTATTAATCCATTCTTATGAAATTGTTTTCTTAAATCATTTATTTTGTTTTCTCTATTTTTTTAAAAAAATTAATAAAATTTGTAATAAAATACAATCTATGAGTAATTAACAAATTTCCATTATCGTTTTTATGCAATTCAAAAACAATTAAAAATTGTTTTAATTTTCTTAATTTAAGTTTTCCTTTAAAATAAAAATATATTAATTTAAAGATTTCGTTAAATAATACATCAAATAGTAAAAACATTGTTAAAATTGATTCTTTAAACAATTACTAAGTATTTAATTCAATTTGTATATAATATTTTAAAATAATTATCAAATCTAGCATTCTTTCTATATTTGTAAATTATTCTTTTTAAATATTTTATAAATATAATGATAGTAAAAATTAATTACCATGTTTAGTTAAAAAATTACACAATTAAGAATAAGTTACTATGTTTATATTATATTTATTCTAAATTTTATAAAATTATATTAGTTCTTCTTTGATATTTTAATTATTTTAAGAACCCTAATTATCTACTAAATTATTTATATTTCTCTAAATTAAATTAATTAAATAAAGCGATTTAAAGCTATCGTTAACATTACTTTCAAGAAATAGTAAGTTAGATTTTTATTCTTTAAAAGGATCAATAT